GACTGTGACCCAGCAACTCTCTTCCTCCTCTGAGATCCCAGGTGTGTGGAACCAGTGGAAGGTGCTGCACCGATGTGAAGATCCCGTCAGCTGTGACAGAACGGGACCTGGGAAGTAACCCCAAGGTGGATCAGGGACCCACTGAGAACACTTCGAGATGAACATGAGCTAAAACCCCATTGATCATCTGGCCTCCATAAGTCCCTACCCTGCCTGGTGGACCACACTGACGTGTTAGGTCTCCGGGAACTAGTGTCGGTTCAGAGCCAGTGCCTAGCAAATAAGTCCTGAAAAGTCTGATTATTCTTTTCCCTCATGCACAGTTACCCTGGTAAAAGCTGTAGACCCCTTGGGGAAGGCTCGGAGAAAGACGAACAGTATGAATGTTTAGTGGTGTACCAGGATCCTTCCTCAAGGGGACCCAGTTTCCCCTTTATTCCAGGGGTTCTTCATCTGTAAATTGGCCCAAGTCTGGGAATTGACTGAGGGGCCATGACTCTGTGTTTGTGATTCAAGTTAGGCTTTTGTGCACTTGACGTTCTCACTTCTGCTTACAGATCAAGTGGGAATTCGTAAACTTCATATCTATTTCATTCCTAGGAGCAGTCCACATGAGCCTGTGCAGTCAGACTATCCGAGCTGCTACTCTGACTCCTTCCTTCACAGTAACCATGCCCATCGTGGGTAATTAAGCTGAAAAGAGCAGATACACTTGTCTTGTCAGTTCCTACCCTCTTGGAATTCTCATGCTGGTAGAGCAGGAAAATAAACACATAAAAAGCAAACATTTTAAGGCATTGATAAGTGTTACCAAGAAGACAAAAGAGAACTAACTGCCAGTATCTTTTAAGACACTGGGAGGTTGGTCTCAGGATGGCTTCTCCGAGGCTGTAAGTGCTGAGGGGTCTAGGAGAGCCTTTAGAGTGGAAAGACTCGCAAGAGTGATGCTCCTGGGGAACATGCAGAGCATTGGAGGGTCTGAGCACCAAAGGCCCACAACAGAAAAATTCCCAACATTCTAAAACCTAATTTCCTCGGTCATCTAGTTTTCCTAAGTTTGCAAACCAGATCAGATGCGAATGGAGGGAGCTGCTTAACTAAGTAGATATACCAAGATCTCTTGTTTAAGGGCTCCAGGATGAAAGTCTAAGTGTTTGGCTTAATTTTCAATGATGTAAAGTTAAAATAAAAAGGGAATACATTGACACTTCAACTGCTTATGTACTGAGTTCATAAGTAATAGGAATTAAAAGGGTTTAAATATTATATGCTTTAAAAAATAAAAACAGCTTTTACGTGGAAATTAGTCTTTCATTCACAGTTTCATCATTGTTTTCTCTCATGCCCCTTGTTATCTCTGTTCCGGCACTGACTAGCTTTTAGCAGGTGGAGAATGGGCGAGCTGTTAATGTGTCTTCCTTCTGTGACTGGACTGAAAGCATCTTGGGGCCAGGGCTCCCTATACCCATGAAAGGTCCTGGTTTCAGGGGTAGAGCAGGTGTTAAAGTGCTGTTTTTTAGGTAAACTGGAGAAAACAGAGACTTGGCTGAGACCATCCAGCAATTCAGAGACAGGGTATCCAGATGAAGTCGAGTTGCTGAGAGAAACCTAAGTGTCTACTGATAGATGAATGGATAAAGATGACACACACACACACTGGAATATTATACAGCAACAAAAAAGAACAAAATCTTGCCATTTGTGACAACATGGATGGATCGAGAGGATATTATGCTAAGTGAAATAAGTAAGGCAGAGAAAGACAAATACTTTATGGTTTCATTTATATGTGGAATCTACAAATAACAACAAATGAACAAACAAAACAAAACCAAAACAAACTCATAGAAATAGAGACCAAAGGGATGTTTACCAGAAGGGAGAAGTTGGGGAAGGAAAAGGGAAATACAATCAATAATATTATGATAAATTTGTGTGGTGACAGACAATTACTAGAATTAGTGGGGTAATCACATTGTAAGGTGTAAAAATGTTGAATCACTACACTGTACACCTGAAACTAATACAGGGTGGGACAAAAGTAGGTTTACAGTTGTGAATATGTGAAACAGAGTTTATTCCTATATTATTATCTAATTATTGTATTATTTTCCATACAATTGTGAACCTACTTTTGCCCCACCCTGTATAACAATATAATATTGTATACCAACTATACTTAAATAAAAAACATCCTCTGTCATTGAGGTGGCACTTGACACATTACATGTCATAACATGACCCATAAACTCAGCCAAGGAAGAACAATACCTTTCTCCATTTTCTTTAACTTCATTTCTCAGGTCCCCTCAGCTGCTGGATCTCACCTGGGCCCAGGTGAGTAAACTCACGTGACTCCTTTTAGTCCTGCCCCCGCCCTGGAACTCTCCACCTATTCTGGGGAGCTGGGAGGCTCCATTTTACTCGCCCTGGTTTCTCCCAAGTCTTTTGCCTATGGGTCATCCTTTCTGTTTCTCCCATGGGCAAGCCTTAAAATTTCAAAGCCAGAAAATGACCTTTTTTCTTTTCCCTCTGATGTCACTCAGGCAATGAGCAGAGGCAGCTTACCTGAAGCAATGGGAGGAAGAACAATGAGACAACAGGAAGTGCCCAACCATGGGGGCGTGTCCTAAACATGACCCCACATTCCCTCCTCTACCAGGTAAATCCATGGGGGCGTGTCCTAAACATGACCCCACATTTCCTCCTCTACCATGTACTTTTAACACATTATCTCACTTGATCCTCACACTCCAAGGTAAGAATGTAAAGTATTAATATCTCCCTTTTCAAAAGATGAATCAGACTGGAGAGTGACTTTCCCAAGGTCCCACAGTAAAGTGCAGGGTGGATGGGCCTGGATTTCCAGTCCTATGCCAACTTCCCAAAGGCACATGTGCTTGCCTCTGGTATCACAACTTAGAGAGCCTCGCTGAGTTACCGATACTCAGGCTGTGCTTTGCTAGGTAAATTATGTTAGTTAGAGGTCAGCAGCCCTGCACTGCTAGCTGAAGAATGATTTGTCCGCAACAGGGAAGAAGATGATGTCATGAATATACCCAAGCAATCTCTGCCTCTGCACTGCCCTTGAATTAGCTTCTGGACAGTCCATTAATTCTGAGTATTTCGCAGCCACCATAATGGACCTTTTCTCTGCAATCAACTGGGTTGACCATATCACAATCCAGATTAGTAATTAAATCGCCGTAATGATTTGGCCACAGTCAGGTTCTTTTGAGTCTATGAATATGGTTGACATTTCCTGGAGAAGACTGCAAATGGAAAGGACTGGAAAGTTCAGAACTTAGGCTATTAGCCTTCTCCTGACAGGCTAATGGTATTCCGTAGGTAATAGAAAGCAGAAGGAAACCTTGGCCTTTTGTGGTGGCAAGAATGTTTTATCCTACGACCCCGAGAAGGTCCTTTAACAAATGGCCCCAAATAACCTGTTCTTCCTCCGCTATCTCATTTCACTCAGTATGAATCCATGAACCCTTGACTCCAGGCACCGAGTTACCTCCCACGCCATCAGTGTCTGCAAGCCAATCTCACACAGAGCTGGGAGAAAAAGCCCCCTTCCTCCATCTTACCAAGCAAATGATTGATTCTGATCATTTTTTCCCCAGGGAGCAAATATTTTTACACTTTCCCAAACAACCCAACACTCTAGGTTTACTGGAATGGTTTACTGAAATGTATCCACTCTGGGGCAATTTCCTGAAATGTGTACAATTTTGTCTCACTGGCTAAGGGCCTACTGTGTGCAGGGTGTAGCATATGAGGGGCTACAAAAGATGTAAAAGGAACATCAGAAAAGTGTGTGGATAACACACCAGTCTCAATTAGGACACAAATCTTGTGGCAGAAAATGATATAAAAATTTGAAATTACTTTGAATGAGTCATAAAAGTGAGCCATTATTCTGCATGTGGAAATCTTTATACTCTTGAAGTAACCCACTTATGCATCTTTCTCTCTGATGCTTTATGTTCCTACTAATCTTAGCTCTGATTTTAAAGTACTACTATATGTAATTTAAACAAACAAACAAAAAAACATGTTCTAGTTCTCTGACCTTCTCTTTTGGCAAAACTGTGTTTTGTTGCATGGGTATAACAACCACAACTGATATGCTTCTCAAATTAATAACCTGGCACTGTCTGCTCTCCTTTCTTCATTTATTTATTTTTGTTTTATATGGGTCCTATAGATTCATCATATGTCAGACACCTCAGAAAGAATGTCTCTAATGAAAGTAAAGTTCTCAAGTACAAATCAGAAATGTTTTATTTTTACTGTTTTTTTTCCCTTATCAAAGCAGAGTTTCATGGACTCTCCTAGTTGAGCTTTTGGACTTTCCTAAGCTGTGGATTGACTTAGTAGTAACAAGTGCTCAAGCTTTTTAAAGAAAATGACTACACTGTTGGCTATACTATGCATTGCACTTGACTAACAGCAACTCCATTAATTCAACAAAAGTCAGGAACTTAAAAAAAAAACAAAAAACCCTATTACATCTCAGGAAGATTTCCTACCTAGTTAAATATGCTGTTAATATAGATCAATAAAACAACATTTACTGGAAATACTCTCATCTGGGATTTAAGAGAATGCCTGAAGGGTTCAAACCTTTAATTAGTTCATAATGTAGGACCAGAGCTATTTCTTGCTTAAATTCAATTTTCAGAAGAGAAAGACATTTATAAATGTGCTCTGCCATAGAAACAGCTTCCCATTTAGGACAATACCCGTTTCCTAGAAGTAAAACACTAAAAGAATCAGCCACGAGAACACAGACATGTGTTCCCTTCTCTTCTGGATGTAAAGGCTGATAATTATATTTCTAAGAACCAGCATTATGGCCCATAAGGCTGACATGAAGATAGGGAAGGAGATGCGTTAAGGGATAATTTCTTGGTAATGAGGTCCTCTAGAGTGGAAACACTTACAGTTATGAAGAATAAACACATTACTATAAAATATGAAGGAGAAAACCTTACCCGAATCCGGAAAGCAAGCGACAGAAGAGAAAGAAGCCATAACCTTGGACAAATGAAGAAAGGAAGGCAAAGAATCCGTTGACAGACATGCAAATCAGAAGAGACTGTTTCCTTCCCACTTTGTCTGCCAGTCCTCCCCAGAAGAACGCCCCCACCATCATCCCGAGGTAGACTATGCTGCCTGCAACACACAGAAAACAAAGAAACACGTCAGAGGTTGGGGATAAGGACACAGGTAACAGCAAATGAACAGGGACAAAGTACATTCCAGCATTCTGCATGGGAAATATTTCCTTTTAAAATACACTCATTAGGCCCTGGCCGGTTTGGTTCAGCGGTTGGAGCGTCGGCCTGTGGTACAGAGAGGCCTGGGTTCGGTTCCCGCTAAGGGCACGTACCTCGGTTGCAGTTTGTCCCCGGCCCTGGTTGGTCGTGCGGGTGGCAGCCACTCGATGTGTCCCTTCACGTCGATGTTTCTCTCTCTCTCTCCCTTCCTCTCTCTCCCTCCCGCTCTATCAGAACAAAAAATGGAAAAATGTCCTCGGGTGAGGATAAAAAAATAATAAAAAATAAAATACACTCTTTAGGACACACAAATCGGCGTTCCAGATGGAAAGTAAGTTCTGTGGGCTACCTTTGGCTGCCATGCCCAATGGCCAGGGCAAAGGACAAAACAGCCTTGTTCTCACCAGCCCTGTGGGGACAAGTACAGAGTGGGCAGGCACACGGAGTCTCCACACAGAACAATCCTGGAGGTTGACTTATGGTCACGTCACCTTTGGTCTGAATGGCTGACTTATCACAATGACAAAGCAAAGGTGGGGGCTGAGTCAAGGGCTCCCAGGTAAAGGAGATTCCCCAGCCTGCCTGTGGTCTCTGCCTGCAGCACATGACCTGGGCCAAGGTCAGCCCCTTAGGAACCCGTTAGAGGATTCTAGGGGTTCTTTCTCTCTAATCCTTTCTGAAAGCCCGGGCCCTTCCTTGGGAAGGAAAGAAAGCTACAGAAGGTGAGTTTAGAGATGACAAGATTTAATATGAAAATAGTCTCAAACTCCATTCATAAGAGAAACCTTTTTTGTTGGAGTCAGGAGTTTAAGGAGCCTAAGGAGAAGGGAAATAGCTGTTAGTACTTTGGGAATTAGGAAACTCATCACGGCTGGCTTTGCTTCTATACGGGAAACGAATGGAAAACTGAGTGCTAGATACATGTGCCTCTCGTACACACTTGAATTTTCTTTCACTTGCTTCTTCTGAGAAAAACCAGGCCCCATAAGCCCTGTCCAGATTCCTTCTCAGGATCAAATAACATTAGGTGTGGCAAATATTAGTCCAGGGAGCTTTCCCAAAGGGTGTGCAATGTTTAGGGGAAATGTCATAGTTAATCATGAAAGTCCGTTATATCTGAATGTGGAGTTACAAAAGCTGCAGCTACACCTTTCATTTATTTCTGCCTTTTCCCTTGCTTCACCAAAGCCTCAACAAAACAGCCCCTTTTCAAAGGCACATCCGATATACTCAGTAGCACCTAAATAATAAGAGGAAGAAAAACACACACTGATTTATTGCTTTCGATTCATTTGGAAAACAGCTTATTTAAACATTCACCCTGAATTTGTTTGCTTAACACACAGTTAATGGATCAATAGGAGACCCAGAAAGAATACATTTGGCAAAGTCTAGTGACCCTCAAATCAATGACATGCGGATGCTGCTTAGCAGATGGCCAGGTACAGACAGCCACAGTGAAGGGTCAGTGTTGGAGCAATTTCAGAATAAGACAAAACAAAAGTTATTTTTGTCTAGCCTGGCGCACTGCAAAGAGGTGGTTGGGTCAGCCTTGCCTAGGTGGGGATGGCATATTTTTCTTTGTGCTACGGGCTGACCATGCGCAGGTCATCCTTCTCAATAAAGAGATTACACATATCATGGGACCCAATGCTTGTCCAGGAGACCATGTAAAGAATGTATCAGCACAACGCAAAGGAGTTCCAAAAGCAGACAGATGCACCCAGAGAAACGCGTATGCAGCATGCTTCTTATTTATAAGAGGCTCAAGTTTGCTACTTGTGTCTCTCAGAAGAATAATCAGTAGCTAAGCTTGTTTGAATAATGTCTGTGTCTTTAAAAATGCCTGCAGATCAGAAAGTGAGCTCCCATAGATCAGGAGTGGCCCGTGGCCGCTGCAATCTGAAGACTCGGGAGTCTTCTTTGGAGCTCCAGCCCCAGGAACAAACAATGGTCACGAGCATTTGCTGAACCTCATTTACTCCTCAGGATGACCCTTGGAGGTTAATACTACGGAAGCCCAGTTCACTGGTGAGGAACCTGAGTATGGAGAAGTAAATGATTTGACCCCAGAAAAGTGAGTGGTGACTACACTCTAGTCCATCAGCAGTTCCTTTTCACTGTATAACGTGGTTATGGACCCTTTAACAACCCTGGCTGCCTCCTGTGAAAATATCCCGGTTTGTCCAGGCCCCTGGGGGGGCGGGTACCACCTAGAATTGAAAGCAGGACCTCACATGTCTCTGAGGTGCCTTTGCCCTGGTCACCACCTTCATAGAATTAGTGAAGTTGGGGGTAACGGGAAATGATTGGCAGGAGCTAGGGAAAATGGTGCCTCATTCTATCCCAGGACAGGAGAGGGGCACACTCCTCCCTAGACATTCCAAAGGGGCACATTCCCAACCCTGTTGGGGGAAGGGGGTCAATGCTGAAAATAGCTCGGTGGTGCCAGAGGAAAAATGAAAATCCAAGCTCTTGTTAAAAAGAACAGGCTTCTCTGCTGTGGTCCAAGGAGGGCAACTCTGTTGCTTTCCTGGTGCAGGAGCGACAATTCCAGCACTCTAAGGCCCATAATTGGGTGCCAGGTCTCCCCACCCAGCAGGAGTGTGGGACACAGCCCAACCGCAGGAGCTTCCCAAAGCCCAGAGGTAGTCCAGGATGCGCTGGCTGAGCTCACTGGGACTTCGTGATGGAGACAGCTTAGGGACGGCTAGGGGTGAAAACCCTCATTTCCCATTAGCACCTGTCCTTGAGCCATTTGAAAATAAAACCTTGAAATAACATGTATTAGGGCTTTTAATATAGAAAAGAGGGAAATAAAAATGGCCCATCCTTCAATTCCCCCAGATATCCCTATTAACATATATTTAAACAAGGAAATATACCTAAATGGCCCAAAATTCAAACCACATAGAAATGTATACAATGAAATAAAACTTCCTTTCTCCTCCACCCTTGACCCTCTTCCCAAAGGTAACTATTACCACGTTTTTCTAACTCTTCCAGAAATTTTATTCATATAAATATACAAAAATGGATATCCCAAATATATAAAAAAAGGCAATTCCTATTGCCTGTTAAGTAGAGTTCTTTCCTGTATAATGTTATTCTTTTTTCCGTTTGTGCTTAGGATTGCTAAACTAAGCAAACCAGAAATCAGCCTGTCAGAATTTTAATAACTACTTCGAAATACATCTCATATGTTTCAGAAACGCATTCACTGCCGGCTATTAGGGGAAAACCCAACAGTTCTGTTTCCATCTTGTATGATCACTATGCCTAAAATAAACGCACTCAATCTCCTTAACAGAAAGGATATTAAATTCAACTCTAAAAAACTAGTTAAGCACACACGTTGCTGACTTTTCCTGAAGTGGGAGAATGCACGGATGCAGGGGTCACAATCCCTGACCCCAGAGGAGGTAAAGCACAGCAAACATCCATCCAGTGCCTACTCATGCTAAGGCCAGAGAGGAGGGAGACGTGTCACACCCATTATTTCCCACCACCCTCCCGACAACCCCACCTGATCACGGCCACTACAGACACGGGCATCCAGGCCAGAACTTTCCATGGCCTCTGGGAACATATGACCAGGACAGAACAGTGCCGAAGTGTTCGCTCAGGTACCTGGGCTCTAAGTCCCTAAACTCTCTCCTCCATCAAGATGGCTTAAAGAGCTCCTGACTCAGTGAGGGAGACGCTGGGTACATAACTCAGTGAGCCCAACCTGAGCTGTGCTCTCTGATGGAGGGTAGCTGGGACCAGAGGGCGGGAGGTGGCTACTGATTCTGACTGTGGCCTGTGGGAAAATTTCACTGAGGAGGGAGCAACTGAGAAGATTCCGAAGAACAAGAAAGATTTCAAGACCATATTAAATTTCTCCATAAGTGACAGGTTTAGAAAAAAAAAAAGTAGTATTAAGCTGTATCTTTACTTCTACTCTGGTTAAAAATATGTTTCGGATTCTAGAATAATAATCGTGTACGCCTGTGTTGAATTATTATTGTTAATTAGACTGTTCCATTGGGCATGCCATGGAGAGAATTAAGCCTACCTAGTAGCTTACTTAAAACAAATAGCACAAGTCAAAAGTTTAGTTGTTAATCCTGTGATCTAACTAAAGCCAGACTTTTCAGTGTTGGCAAAGGCATTATGTGAATAAAAGTGAAAATTCTGGGACCCTCAGAGCACAGACTGACTCCTGCCCTGTCTTCCCATTTCCACTTTGTTGTGAGGGGGAGCTCATGAAAACTCAGACAGCTGCGCTCAGACACAGACCGGCCTGCTGGTCCTCTGCTCGTGCTGCTGCCGCTGCTGCTGGGCAGAGTTCAAGGTATTTTAGTTCCCTAATTTTGCAGGAAGGAAACTGAGGCTGTGAGAAGTCAGTATTTGAAATGAGGTCTAGATCCTCGCCCCTCGGAGCATACGCCCTAGACCCACAGCACTGGCACCCTGGGGGAAATTGCTGGAAATGCAGACCGTAGGGCTCCCCGTGACCTACAACCCTGCACTGGAACAAGATGCCCACAGATCCGGGTGCACTTTAGAATCTGAGAGCACTTTCAGGCTTTGGTGCTTTCCAGAAAAAACACAGAACCTCTCCAAGACTTTTTAAAGTTTGTATGTGTCTAATACATTTGAAAGGAGAAGATGCAGTTCATGTAATATTGAAATTCCTAAGACACAGAACAAGCAAGATTGCCCTACACAGGCTGACGGTTTCTTAAGGGCAAATAGACTGCAGGCCTCCTAGGACCTGTCTTCCTCAGGACTGGAGGCAGACCTCCCAGGTTGAGAGAGGCCAGGCTGTGATCCCCAGATCCTTTCAGGAATCTACTGAAGATTTTGATTCAGCTGGGCTTTCTGGAGGTTGAACTGGCCTGAGAAATAAAC